TTTTTACTTCAACTCAAGCATTGTTTTAAAATACAACTGCGTTAGGTTAATAAGCAGATCATTAGTTGCTCTTTATCACATTTATGACGCAGCTCACCGAGGAGGATGAAACTATTCTGGAAATTATTACCTACGTGGGACTAAGCCTCTCCATTATTGGGATACTTTTGACAATTATTCTATATTCCTTCCTCACGTAAGTATTATAAACATACGACTTAAGAGTTAGTATTTACATGACTTCGAAGATTTCAGGCCCAAATCGGACTAGTTCATATAAAATGATAATAATAAAAAAGATAATGATAATTAATAAAAAAATTTGAAAAAGGTACAATACAAATGATAAAAATAGTTATTACAGTTGAAAATTACGATAGAACAAGAATGAAGATAGCGAAAGCGATTAGAATGGATCAACTAGTATTACACAACTTACGTATGATGCACGATCCTCGCAGTAGAGAGCGCTATTTATGCCATAGCGAAAATCAGACCTGGAAAAAATCAAGCCTGTACGGGATTCGAACCACTGACCTCTGCGATACTAGTGCAGCGCTCTACCAATGGAGCTAACTTCACGGCCTGCCTGCAGTTGGCTTGTTAGCTCAATTGGTAGAGCGCTGCACTAGTATCGCAGAGGTCAGTGGTTCGAATCCCGCTATCTACTGCGAGGGTCGTTCACCATATGTAAAGTATTTATATGTAGGGAAAGGAAGTGGTCCCGGAACATATTGTTGTCAGCTTTGTCTAATCCCTTCTCTTTCTTTTTCGTTTCGATTCTTTACTCCAGGTTCTACCGCCGCTCAATTAGGCTTAGTCGCAGAGGGAGGAGATCAATTAATGTGCCTCGCACGCGCGTTCAAGTCAAGATAAGATACTGGCGAAAACTCCTTCCAAGGTTCAAGATTCGTTACAGAAGAAAAACTCAACCTCTGAGATTCTACAAAACTGGATTAAAGATTGGACGACGATGGCTTTCCTATCGACGTCGTCGGATGACTAGGCGAAGATCAAGACGACGACGCATCAGAAGGAGAAGGCAAAGAAGGTTGAGGAGGCAAAAACGTAGAAGAAGGCGAAGAAGAAGGAAAAGGAGAAAGCGAAGAAGGATAAGAAGAAGAAGAAGGAGAAGAAGAAGGAGAAGAAGAAGACAAAGACGTGAGAGAGGACGTAAAGTTCTTAAGTATCGACGTCGAAGGGGATCATATCAGCGACGCCTTAAGAGAATGCGTAAATTGAAAAAGATCAGGAGAATAAGGAAACGTATTCGAAGACGAAGGAGGTACGGACGAAGACGAAGGAGAAGAAGGAAGATGAGGAGAAGGAGGCGAAGACGACGAAGGCGTAGAAGGCAAAAACGAAGGAGAAGACGCAGAACAAGAAGAAGAAGACGCCGTCGACAAAGGCGACAGCGTTACAGTGTTTTAGGACTGAAATATTACCGCAGATGGAGAAGCGTTTATCGCCGGGGACGGAAATTATACTTCCGTTTCAGAAGAAAGTCAAGAAGAATTAAGTTTAAGTAAGACTTGTTTGTTCTTCTTATTTTCATTTGTTTCTCCAATCGTGCTAAAAAAAAGAACATTAGCAATCGGCGAAACCAAGAGGATGATTTATCTTACACACGCATGCCCTGAGTTAATTTTTCAGCCATGAGTCAAAAAAGCTGCGTCTGCTTGGCGAGTTGAGGGAAAGGGGGGGGGGGGATGAAGGGTAATTTCTTCCATTTTTTTCCTCGCTGTTTAACCACATGCACTCGTTCGAAAATGCTGAATTTCCATTTATATTGTTTTATTTTTCTTGTTGCTTTTATGGCCAGCTTTTGGAAACTCCTGGATGGGGATATTGAAATCACGCAAATTAATTTAAATGTAACTATTTACAAAGGATCAATATCCCTCTCCGACGTAATAGCTAAGATTTGACTCTACAGTGCTAATTGAAACTCTTCTTCTTTCTCATTCGTCATAAAGATATGGCGGAGGCAGGATATTGATACGTCGTCGTGGAACGTGGAAATCGATATCTACGAGGAGGCGACTCAGAATCAAGATAAATCGCAAATGGAGAAAAGTTGTAAGGTTTAGAGGAGCTTTCCGTGTTCGATACGGAAGGCGAAGGTGTAGAGTGAAGATCCGAAGAGGAAGGGTTATTGTCAAAATCAGACGAATATGGAGAAATATACAGCGAAAGCGAAGATACAGAAGAAGGCGAGGAAGACGAAGAGTGCGAAGGCGACGCCGAAGAAATAGAAGGCGACGAAGGAGAATTAATAGACGAAGACGAAGGCGAAAGAGAAGAAGGAGACAGCGTAGAAGAAGACTGAGGAGAAAATACAGAAGGAAAAGATTACGAAATATAAGAAGACGACTACGAGGAAAAAGGTTGTGGAGAGGAAGAAGACGTAGACGGAGATCTCGTCGGTACAGGATGCGATTTTTCTTAAACGGTCGATGGGGAAGAGTGTTCAGACGTAGAGGATACTTGCGAGTCCGCATCGGGAGAAGAGTAACAAAGATAAGGTAACAATTTTTTTTTTATATTTTACTTTTATATTTTTGATATTAAGCAGTTATTCAATATCTTTATTAGGACTCATAAATTAGGATGTGTTTCAGAGAGATTGATCGAAAGCGACATGACTTCGACGTGGTTTTGTCAGATAGACGCCCGATCCTATAACTTGCCAAGATAATGTTATTCTATCGTAAAATTTATATTAAAATTTCGCTTTAAAATGTCGTTTTCGAGCCATGATGGGTTCTCAACAACGTGAGCTAACTGATTTTTAAGTATTTAGCTTTGACGTCTGTTACAATAACTTTCTTTCATTTAATTTTTCATTTACTTAAGGAGAAACTAAGCATGATAGACGGAATTCCTCTCGGCCAGCCCCAGATAATTTCATCTTATATGCTAACGATTGCAGGGGATGGAAAACGATTTACAGCAGACCTTGGGAAATTGTCATCCTTATAATTTTCTCGAGGCATAACTTTTCCAACTGAGAGCCATCTTAAATGACTCTAGATTTTGTAGCCCAGGTTAAATCGCCGGAAAGAGTGATAAAAATGATGTTACACGGTTTACCTGTCTATGTTTATGTGGTTTGGTTTCATACTGATTCGAATTTACATTTTTACCGACCAAAAACTAGAAAATAAAGGCTTTAAAGGCGGCAAAGAAAGACTACAAACTCAAGTTTGAACAAATGGGTTTAAAATCGTGATTTTCAAAGAACAAAACAAAGCAATCATATCTATTTAAGTGCGTTTGCCAACTTGGCTAAGTTGTTGGGTCGATGTTTAGATGACACAATTGAGGAGATTTAAGCCATTCTACCTGGGTCAACGCGGGTCTTGACAAGTGTTACTTGGCAAAGAGGGGTGACTTACAACTTGATTTCTGAATATCATTAAAACGCTAGCAATCATTTGGCTGTTACATTTTTACCCTTCGCAAATAAGAAAAAAGTGACCTAGGATCGCGATAAGAGGCCTAGAGTGCGGAGGGATGCATTGCTTTGTTTTCACGAACCTCTAGCTTCACGTGGAAAGACACCATCCACAATGAATTTACTCCTCTTAATTTTCTATACTCCCACGCACAGATATCGTCGTGGCCGCTGGACTGTGTGGCGCAAAAGAAGATGGTTTGCCCTTCGTGGAAAAAGCCGTCTGAAAATACGTTATCACAGGACGTGGAGGCGGATTGTTTACAAACGCAACAGGCCTGTTGTGCTCGTTGGAAGAAGATACAGAACAGTGCGGATCCGGCGCGGACGATTGATCATTAGGTTTAGACGTAAAATAACAAGGCGAAGGAAAGGCTATGTAAGGAGAGGAAGATGGTCGAGGTTAGGCCGTAAAGGATTCCTGAAACGTTCGAGACGTTCACGACGCCTGAAACGTCTGAGAAGATTAAAAAAGAGGAGGAGACGGCAAAGGCTAAGGCGGAGATTGCGCAGACGAAAGATCAGACGAAGAAAGAGAAGGTACAGGAGAAGGAGGAGAAGAGCAAGGAGAAGAAAAAGACGCAGAAGAAGAAGGAAGCGACGCAGACGAAGGATCAGGAGACGAATTAGACGAAGCATAATGCGAATCTATTATGCTAGGAGATGGAGGGAGGTTTACAGAGAAGGAACCAGACTGAGATTTACATTTGGACGAAGGCCCTACTTCGTCAGGTAAATGGAAACTAATGATCGATGGAGAGCTAGAACCTTTCACAAGTGAGAGTGAAGAACTTTGCAATATGGGGAACATAAGATTATCCAAGACCAAATTCTCCGAACTATCTGATGAGACGTGGGAGTGAAAGGATTAAAACAGACGTTACTAATTTGGGGAGGGCCAAAATATATGATTTCTTCAGAAAGTTTGGATCCTCTCCTCTCATCTCTCAAAACACTTTGCTTTTACATCTCAATATAGTAGGGTATAAACGTTTTCCATCAAGAATTTTATCTACTTTAGTCGTTTCTCATACGAGACAAAGACACCCCGCTCTAAAAACTGCAGGGCTGTCGGGCATCATATCCAATCTTTTTACCTCAAATTATCATTTCTCTGTCATTGGTTTTAATAAGATGAGTGCGAATCGTTAGATTTCACTAAAACCAGATATAAATTGTTTCTATCAAAGTGGATTGTTCAGTGGCTGTGGATACAAAACTGCCTTGATATTACAAAATGTATCAACATTTATTTATTATCTAAATTACTCCAGCTGAACGATAATTGAGATTTGACTTTGAATTCACCTCCTAACTAGTCTTTTATTGTTTATTTAAAGATGTGGCTTTAGAAAGGTAAGCATTTTCCGCGGAGGTAGATGGATTCGACTTAGCCGGCCGAACAGACGCATAAGAGTGTTGTACAGGAACCGCTGGCGACCAGTTACGAGAAATAGGCAAGGGTTACTCCTAAGATACGGCCGAAAAGGATATCTCATGCGCTTTACAAAGGGATTAATTGATGTTTACCGCCGAGGACACTGGAAGCGTCTCAGAAACCGCCGCCGAAAGGTTTCACGGCGTAGGAGAAGGTTAAGCAAAAAGAGAAGAAAACGACGACGTATGAGAAGAAGACGAAGACGAATCCGACGAACTCGTCGACGAAAGAGGCGACAACGTCGAAGGCGAAGAGTGCGAAGAAGACGAGCTAGTAGACGAAGACGTTTGCGAAGGATTATTAAGCGACTGGGGAGGGGTAAGAAGAGACGCCGAGGAATTCGAAGAACCCGAAAGCTGTTCAGTGTCCTTCGGCTCTTTTTCAAAGGAGGATGGAGAAAAGCTTATAAAATTGGAGGTCGCTTGAGAATCCGATACCGTGGAAGAACAACCGTAATAAGGTAACCTTTTTATTTTTATTGACAGCACTACAGATGTCACCGGCGTTTTATTTTCCTAATTAAGTTGACAAGGAGCTTGATTGTCCTTTTTCATTTTGTGGACAAAAACTAATCGGTAATGTACAGTCTTTCAGAATAGTATGGAACACCCGGCCATACGTACTAGTAATGAAAAGGAAGAAATCTGAATATTCCCAATCCACAGCCAGTGCAATGCCAATTTCGTCCGGACCCATAAATTTGTATGCATAGTAACACTGAAATAGAGACAGGAGGGGAGAAATAACAAAGTGGAGACGTTGGTTCACTTTTTAAGAGTTCACTTTTAGGAAGAATAAAGCGCCACATTCGTTCAAATGTAGAAGTTTGAAGATTGGTGTACAAAAAGATTTTTATTATTCTCCTTAGCTACTACGCACGTTACAGAACGCTAAACATTACCAGTGTTTTGGTTGTGGATTTAGTTTGGTTTGTATCGCTAGTTAAGGAAACACCCAGTCTTTCATGATCACTTTTAGAACGGACCTCATTCATTGCTAGTAAAAGGCAGTAATAGGTGGTAGTATCTGAGTGTCATTTAAGGCGAGTTTTTAATGCATCATTATGAAAATATGGTTTTTGCACATGTCCTATTAGTCTGCCTATTTCCTGGTGGAAAAAACATGATTTCGATGAGATTATGTGTACTGAAAAACACAGAACTCTGCTAATTTCACAGAAGGAAACAGTTGCAGTCCACTCAGCATGCTTCGCACTGTCTCATAGGAGTAGTACACTAAAATCTTCAAACATTTTGTTTGTTCCACAATAGAGAAACAAAGCAGATTTTCGGAATATTCTGTCCAGATTGGTACACATATTCCTCTAAGTTGTTTGAAATAGCGGATAGGTTTTCACATCCAATTGTTTTCTTTCCTAACACAGGTGTAGTCGTGGTTATCTTTACATCCTCTCAAGAAAACGATGGCGTAGAATAAGAACACGTGGTAAAGTTCAGGTACTGTATCACAGACGCTGGAGGTACTTGATATCAGTAAAGAGAAGGGGAAGAAGAATGCTCGCTGTCAGATATGGTCGTAAACTAATTAAGATCACTATCCGTCATGGTCGAGTCAAAATGTTTGTTCCAGCACACTTCGAAACGGTTAAACCAAAGCCAAAACCACGACCAATACGACGAAAGCGGCCACGTTCACGTGGACGAGGACGTTATGGGCGTCTAAGAGGGCGACGAAGACGGCGACGTTGGCGAAGACGACTTCAACGACGACGGCGAAGGCGTAGACGGCGTTATATACGACGCCGCCGAAAACCTGTGTTCCTTTTCTATTATCGACGACGCTGGCGTTCTATTATCAGATGGCGAGGTCAAAGTAAATTGCGTTACCGCGGAAGATGGATAACCTTCTAGTGAGTAAAATTTGTTTTTATTTTGTGCATAGATTTCAGTTTCTAAAGAAACAATTGATCCTCTGATGATGCCGCTAATGATCCAGTTTAGCAGAAATGACATAGTAACACATTCTAACCGGTCTTACTTGCTGATCCATAATGAGAATGAGAAGAGCAAGCAGACGTTCTCAACAGCAACGGGTAGGAAACAGGGGGATGTGTTGGTAAAAATTGTCGAGACAGACCGCTGGAAAATATAGTGCAGATGAGACCAGATGAATTGGACAACTAGCGTAAGCTACTGCCATAACTTGTCCACGCACGTGAGAGAAGGAGAGTGTAAACAAATTTGAGAGAAATTGGTCAGTGATAACGAAATAAAATAGGCCAAATTGAACCATAAGTGAAGAACAAAAACCCTCAAAATTTTCCAACAGGCGCTTCTCCCCATAGCAGTGTAAGCTGCTGAGGTTGGTTACGAAAAAAAAAGCTGAGAAAGCAATGGTGGCTCCTGGAAAGGCGAGAAGCCTTAATTTAAACTTAAACTTCGTGAGCCTTAGTCATAGATTACGTTCTACGAGCGTGCGAGAAGGAGAGTTACTTCAAATTGAATTATCCTCAAATAATTATAAGTTAGACGGTTGAGAATGGTACATTTATGTCCCCATATAATTTATCATTATTTGTTTTTTAAGGGGTTCTTTTACATCTAAGAGTGCTAGGATTTCGGTGGCATGGAGATCACCTGAATTTGAAAGTCTCAAAGAATATAAGTCCGAACAGGTTTCTTGGCCGGTTCTAGTGACTGAGTGAAAGGATTTTATTGTTGAATACTATAGAATTTATGTCCCTAAAAGGTCAAAATAGTTTAACATAGGTCTTTTTACCTAGGAAGTAGTCATTAAGACATCTACAGGATATTTTCGCTAGTTATCGTTCATTAATGGCACGTTAGACGTCTCTGGTCCGTCACCACGAACCATACTAACTTTATATGTCTTGAACTTCAACAGTTATCGAACAGGACGATACGTCAGAATCACTTACAAAGGAAGAAGCCGCATTATACGTCACGTCAGTCGACGTTTCAAGTTACGTCTGGGTTACAAGCGATGGAGTTACCTTAGAGTACGTAGTGGAAGGCTTATGGTTCGTTCGTTGGGACGTTACAGGCCATTCAGGTTAACGGGCGGTCGCATCAGGCTACTATACGGCAGAAGATGGACAATAATTAAGAGACAACCGCGAAGCCTAAGGAGACGAAGGCAATTGAGACGTCGACGTCGACGACGACAAAGGCGACGCATAAGACGGCAGCGTCGTAGATACCGACGACGTAGGCGACGAATAAGACGGCGCAACGTTTTACGTTTCTATTATGGTCGAAGATGGATAAGTGTATTCCGCAGAGGTAGTTCATTGAGATGTCTAATTGGTCGCAGATGGAGACTTGTTCGGTAAGTTCCTCCTACTACGGAATAATTATATGTAGCCTGTACCAAACCAAATATTCGCTTAAAGAGCAGCCTAGGGTCACTTTACTAGTTGTTACAATAGCAATCAAGATAAATTAGATAAACGATAATCGGACAAAGATTCTTCAAGATTCAACTCTTGGCCAAAGTACGCGGTTAGATCACTGATCATGACTCTGCTTTGATCTAGTGTTGACATTTTACCATTACAGCATTGATTTATAAGTTTGTCTGAGTTACGAAAAACGCAACAGAAGATGTGGTAACGAAGTTATATTCAATACACTTCTATTTTTATGTGCATGGTTACGACCACAGGCGCTATAGTTTTAGTTGTTGTTTCGACAACAGGGAATGACCACTTTCAAACGCAAGATTTTTAGGCTTAGATGTTAGAATATGTACTTACGTCCTTGAATGGAGGCCCAACAATCAACGTTACCTTTTCAGATACCGTAAAGGAAGGATCGGAATCAGATCTGGAAGGAGATGGAGGTGGTTGAGCAGACGAATCAAATTCCGCTTTGGCCGAAGATGGCGATTATTGCGATTTTACCGTGGAAAACCTCGCATAAGATTTAGAGGAAAACTGAAAAAGCTGCGCATAGCTTACGCTAAATTGCGCATACAAAACAAAGGAAGATGGTTGAGACCCAGGACACGCAGAATTATACGACGACGACGACGAAGACGACGAAGAAGAAGATTAAGGAGGCGAAAAAGACGAGCGAGACGGCGACGCCGGCGAAGAGGACGGGGAAGGCGCCGTGTACGTCGATGCGTTATGCGTATACGGTTCAGAAGACGATTAAGGAAGATTTACAAGCGCAGAGGAGGATTGGTGATGCGCTTAGGAAGGCGATACAAGAGAGTAAAGTGAGTTTAATTGGTTAGGTCTCTGTCTAACATGCGGGCCACGAGATCTGCGAAGCTATAGCAAAAGTGATCTTGAACTTGCACATAGGCGGAGCACTAAGAAAGGAAAAAGGAAAGGAAAACACCACTTCCGTGATTTTTTCTAATTTGAGATCACTTTCACTGGGACTCGGAAATACCTGAAGTGACCACCATTGTCAATAGGCTAACTCATCCCTACCGATATAAGAAAAGATAATGCAATCGCAGAGTAAACTGGGAAATACTATGTTCATAAGCTTACCCGTTACAAGGCTTCTTAAAATATCCAGAACACACAAACGGAGACAAGTAAGACTACGTTTGACACGGAGACAATGCAGTACAACTTACTATTTTTTCTCCCTCGCTGGTTTTAGGCACTCTTTACAGAAAAAAAAACCTACTAAGATTGAAAAGATGAATCATTGGATTTGTCAGACCTAAATTATACATCATCAACTGATATAAAGTGACTTCTTGATTATTTCTGAAGACGGAAAACATCTCTTGTTTTCCAGGTACAAGTCCCGGAAAGGAAAGATCTCATTCAGATTCAGAGGAAGACGACGTTATATCAAACCGTACATCCGCATCAAAAGGCGATGGTGTCGTATAAGACGACGCAGAGGAAGGGTCACTGTAAAGTTACGAGGAAGATACCGTCGATTCAAGCTTATACGTGGAATACCAGCCTTTAGGAAAGGTAGGAAATGGCGAAGAATCCGTTACAGAACTAGGATATCACGAAGACGTCGTCGCCAGAGAAAACGAAAATATCGACGCAACTTACGAAGGCTACGCCGCTTAAGGCGTTACCGCCGACGAATGAGGCGAAGAAGGAGACGGATACGACGGTCCAGGAGACGTAACAGCTCCTTCATGATCTACTATCACCGAAAGAGAAGAGTAGTCTTCAGATGGAAAGGAAGATTGACCTTCCGCCTTGGAGGAAGGCGAAGAAGAATCAGGTAAAAAAACAATAAATCTTCCTTTTACCATCAGGAAAATTAAACTGTAGGTGGAATGCTGGAATATTTAGAAGGATTCAACTTGATTGTAACTAAGTATCGTTTCAACAAATGCGATTAAAATAACTTGAATTAGTAAAAAGTTCAGCAGTGGGGACAGAAAGTAATTCGCTTCACATATGAGATCGCATTCGTCTACAGCAACATACATAAGTCTTTAGAGAAGCAGTTCAAATGATTCTAATCAGTGAAAGAAATTCGTTTAAAAGAATCGGTTTTCCTAAGACAGACAATAAAGGACATGTTCGAGTTCAATGTCAGCTTTTCAATCTAATTTTCCACAAGACTTTCAGTGGCATTCCCTTGTCTTCGTTGAATCTCCATTAACCGCCTCCCGGTTAGCTCAATGGATAGAGCGCTGGACTGATGTGCGGGAGGTCGAGGGTTCGAGCCCCGGCCGGACCAACACTCAAGGTCTAAAAATAATTGAGAAGAATATGCTGCCTTTCTATAACATCAAGAAATGGTTTAGATATTCTAGTCTTCTCGGATAGGGATGAATAAATGTAGGTCCCGTCTCCTGCAGGGTTAGGGGTAGGAGACGTTAATTTCCCACGCACGAGTTTATTGTGTGATGGATGTCCTCCCCTGGTGTGGGATGGGTGGGTTGTTGTCTTGCGTTTCAGACATGAGCCTCTGGCTAGGGCAATATGGGTAACCATGCCCCACGTAAAGACATTAAAACATTGATTACTATTACTATTATTGATTGAATCTCCAAAAGCATTAAATGAAATACAGATTATAGTAACTGATGTTGATTCACCCTAATATTTGCTTAATAGGTCTCCGATGAAGGGCGTCAGCTCATTTGCTTTCCTCTTTTCCAACTTATTCTAACGATCTAAAATCCATTAGTAATCAATCAATCCGACTCTACCTCAAATATGGCTTTATTTTTTATTTCATCTTACTTTAGGCTCTCTCGTGGCCAGCTATATTACTACTTCCGACGAGCTTGGAGACATGTTCCGATGAAGAAGTATCGACTCTACGTGTACAGTAGAAGGAGATGGCGACCAATTTTAATCCGGCGTGGAAAACTTAACGTTCGCTTTCGTAGACGGTACATACCAATCCGTGTCACCACCAAGGGAACCTCTATTAATCTAAAAGGACGCTGGGTACCTCTCAAACGGCGAAGACGTGCGCGTCCCAGAAAAAGGCCTTGGAGACGCGGACGACGCTACGGGCAAAGGCGCCCCAGCGTGATGCGTTTATATTTGGGAAGACGTTGGAGATCAGTTTACCAAAGCAGAGGAAAGTTCTTCTTCCGCTATAGACGCAAGACATGTAGCCTAAGGTAAAAAGAAATCTACACAATGATTTTACGAAAGCGTTGGCTTCTGTACCTCTGTGTACCACCTAAATAATGTCGGACAAGCTAAGACACAGGGAGAAAACACAATACCTATTAATGTACTTCCAATGTTGACAGCTAAGAATTAGAGTAACTCTTATCATCCTATGTTTACACTCTCACAGCTGTATATTCCTGGTTTTTGTATTCTTATTAGATTTGTGCGTGGTTCAGTCTCATATTTCTTTGGTCGAAGATGGTATCGAATCAGTCCTGTAAGTAAGTTAAGAATCCGTGTTAAAGGACGGTTCAGACGAGTAAGGATAGTCAGGAAAAACATCTATGTCACTTACCGACGCAAACGCACGCCAATTCGGATCATATACGGCAAAATACGGTTCTACAGCAAGAGGAAGTGGCGACGTATTTCTACCCTCCGTGGCCGGCGAACGAGGAGACGTCAACGGCTAAGAAAACTCAGACGGTACTGGAGACGGTTTAGGCGCAGAAGACGAAGGCGTCGACATCGATACCGAAAACGCAACGGCAGAATCTTTTTCAGATGGGGTAGAAAATTCAACCTCGTTCGAAGTAAGAAAGGACGACTCCGCTTCCGTATCGGCACCAAGTACTATTTCCTTAGGTAGGGAAACCTCTTGTAACAGTAATTAACACAATCCAGGAATCGTGAATTATTTATCCCAACAATGTCATGTTTATTATTTATCAGCACCCACTTTAGTATGAAAAAAGCTATTAATTTGTATTTGATCTGTTCCCTTCTGAAAAAAGAGCAAGAGGTTTTTCCTCAAACTTTTACAACAATAGTCCTTTTTACAGTTGTGGGCTTGGTGGCCAAGCCTTTGAACAGGAGTGAGGCTTAGGGTGACCTGGTTATGATAGAGATGTTGCTGCTTTTTAAATGCAAATTACTTTGTTATCATGCTAACAAGATACAGGTCTCTATCACAACAGGGTCACCCTTGGCCTCACTCCTGTTCAAAGGCTTGGCCACCAAGCCTACTGTAAAAGGGACTATTGTTAATTGTTTCTACGGCATAACGGAAAGAAAGCGTACTTCTGCAAAATTTCGCATGTCTATCAACGTTTCGATTTTTGCAAACTTCCTTTATCAAGGTTGCACCACTACACTGTAAACGTTAGACATGCAGAAATGAATACTGCTTACCAATTAAAAATTAATTCCAGTGCGATTTATGTTTTCCGTGCTCAAGTAGAATTTTGCTTTCAACAAACAAAAAAAAGGTATCATCTCTTAGAAGAGGGTTGGGCAAAACTAAAGGTGTTCTAGGATTCCATGACGCACAGACATGGTTCTAGAGGTCACATTTCCAGAGACTTCCTTTCCTTAACAAGTCTTAAAAAAATTGCATTTGTCTTACTTTTCACAGAATCCGAGACAAAAGAGGTATCTGGATACGCTCCGGCAGAAAACCATGGAGTCTGATTAGACGACCCATCAGACGCTTGAAGATGTACGTCCGTGGCAAACTACGCTGGATTTATCCACGTAAAGGACGTTTGATGGTCTACTACAAGCGAAGAGGACGCCCGATACGATTCCGAAACGGACGGCCATTTGTTTGGCTCCATAGGAGATGGAAAGGCCTTAGAGTAAGATCGAACTACGCAAAAATGCGAATCCGGATTGGAGGCGTTTTAAGGATTATCCACAGAGTAAAAGGCCAGTGGACTGTACATTACCAAGGCAAATCCAGAAAGATCAAGCTGCGTGGACGACGATTTGGAATCCGTGTCGGAGGTAAATGGAAATATATTCCTGCAAGGGGAGGAGCATTGCAGATACGTTATGGAAGAATGTGGCGACGAGTCAGGAACTGCTGCAACAAACTGAAAGCTGTGTTACGAGGCCGCCTTCGACGAATCCGACTTCGGTACGGAAAAGCCAAAATGCGAGGAAAGAAAGGTTGGAGTAGGTTATTACGCAAAGGATTTGGCAAATTTCGCTTAAAACGACTGAGAGGTACGTGGTAACACTGTCAATCTAGGGTGGGTCGGAGCACACCAAGATTGGGTTGGGTTTGTGTTATCTCTAGATTGTAGAAGTCTTTACTCTAACAGTCTCTCTTTTTCTATTAAATTATGGACACAAGTATAAATATGAAACCATAATGAGAAATAAGAGCAAGGTTCAGAAAATCCTAAGTTAAGGCGTATAAGGAGAACTTAACTGTGAATGAATTCGTAAGATACAAATGATGTATACTGAAATAAGAAGAAAATTACCAGTATGAATTAGATTTGTAATCGATCACACGATTGCACCTCCCAAGGAGAATAAAATGGTAAACATTAATTAAACATTTATTGTGGTCGATTTTTAGACCAACCTGTTGCACAGACTACCATACAAGAAGGCGACCAACCACAGGGATCTGACACCATCGACCCCAGCCCAGCCACAAATAAGTCTCCAGGATCGCAAGTTTTTGACTCGCCACCCACAGCCGCTGACCGAGAAGTTCCACCTCAATCAATTACCGATGAGATTAGCCGGGAGACTGGGTCGACGATGAACGTGAATGACTATCTCTGAGCAGACCAATTGGAATACAGCAAACGGACAACAAAAAGGGACAGCTTTAACATCTATTTAACCTACTAACATTCTTTTTTTCTTCTTTACTTACGGCAGTTAGCAAGATTAAGAACTGACATGTATTTTAATATATTTATGGTCGAACATTATCAGACCTTGTTCGACTAACCTTCTAACGACGTGATGCGCTGCCAATATATATTTAACAACCTACTTATCCTACTAACAAATTTCATTGTTTTAAAAGTTGTTCCTTTGTATAACCAATTAAAGCATTAAGAATTCATTTCTGTGTGTTATCTTTTGCTGAACCCGGAAGGGTCTAGTTGCTTTTGCTCCACTGTGGGGTAAAACGCCTATAGAATTCTTTCCTTGGCCTGAGTTGGCCGCATAAAAACGAAGGTACACAGAGTATAAAATCTACACATGCGTCTCTGCGCGTCGTAGCTACTTCTTAACCCCTTAACTCCCAAGAGTGACCAAGATAGAATATTTCCTTACAAAGTAAATACAATATCAAGTAGAAAAGTAATGAGAATAAAGAAAAATATAATTTAGGGGTTGATCCAGTACCAAACTCTCCATACTAACATTGGTACGGCAGACAGTATGGAGTTTCGGTGTGAAAATGTCGATTTTTGAAACGTGATTGTTGGCAACAAAAACAGCTTCAACTCATATGAATACCCATCTAAGACAATGGTCAAGAATATTCGATTCAGCTGAACCTTATCCAGACCGTCCTTTCCCTTGTCTCTTCAGTTAGTAAGGAATATAGGATTTTGAACAAAACACTGAAGATGAAATTTTGCTGACGCCATTACCATTGTCACTGAGACATTCTCCTTGTTACTGAACACAAAGTTGATCCACCGCAGATATTGTTGCGTCCACCATGTTGCTTGTGTTCTCCTCTGTGCAACTTTTATCATTATGACCATTTGTGTTCTGATCATCACAATCCAAATCGCGCTCTTCATACGAGTCTTTGATTTTGCTCCTTGTGGCGGCAGCATGTTTCAGTGCATTTTGCAACACTTTCTTTTCGGCTCGTTTCAACCGGATGCACAGTTTTTTGTGGGGTGGGAATTCAGGATTCTCAAGTAACTCACAGTCTTCCTTGGATTAAAAACAAGAAAAAGGTCATTCGAACAGGCAGTTGAGCATAATTAATGATCCAGACGATAAACCCAGGATTTTCCGAAAAACTCAATCACGCCATTCAGCCATAATCATAACCTTTTACCATGCTGAAATACGTATGGCTTGTGACAAAGGCACTGGTGAGTAATTATTTTTATGAGGGCGATTCGCAAGAGTGACTAGCATCTAATTTCTCCCTGCATTACCTTCCTGAGTCAAACATTAAGGTCACGAGATCAAAGGAAATGATCAACTACTACAACAGCCCTTGGTAAGATTGTTCACCAAATTCTCCTCGTCAGCAACGAAGAAATGTATTGAGAACAGTATGGAGAATATACATACTGAGATTAGGGTTTATTTCTTATTAACCGAGCGGGAGGTCTGTACCAGCGACCGAGCTCAAGATTCTCCCATACAGACCGACCGAGCTCGGTTAATAAGATGTTTATTATATGGCTGTGTCTTATATGCCAATTTTTTATGTTCTTTGTACCTTTTTTTTTCTAGACCGGCCTAGATGCCGGTCTAGATGGGAAAATCTGGACCACTTTCAATATTGATTTCAGCCGATCAAATTCGTGAATTCGGTAGTTCCCAGTCCTTGTGAGACACAGCCATATAATAAAAAGGGTTAAGACCCGAAGTAATTCCATAGAGCAGAAAGGGAATTCAATTTAAATTATCGAGAAAAATTCCAACTGACTGACTCGACCCTATGTGCTTCAAATTTCAAATTTAGGCTGCTTGCCATTGTCAGCACTAAGCGGGCATACCGTCCTGGATGTAAATGGCGGGTCAGTTTTCAGTACTTACAAAAACTCACAATAACAATCAGTTTTAAATTTCTTAGGCGCTCTCCTCAAGGTATTCCTTTGTCTCGTCTTGCCAAGTGCGAACAATTCCGAAAGAAGGAGCAAAAGAAACTTTCCCTTCCCTCTTATAAACGTAGTAAGCATAGCACAACGTACAAAGTTATTTTTATCTAATTTTCCTCCCAATTTTTCTCGAGAAGAATATTTATATCCAAGTCGCGCTTTGATGTATTTGATTTCACCTTAGAAGGAATCTCGATGCATCTACCGTTTAAAATTACTAAGGCACCCTGTCACCAAGACAGCATCATGATAGTTTTCTCCTCCGGGACCAAACTTACCGAGTCCGCAGTGTTGTACTGTTTAAGGAGTAAGGTCAGACGTGTTTCCAGAAACTGCCAACCCTTGTTTTCAGTCTCTTCCTTAACGAAGGTTTGTACTCCTGAAAGTTTCTTTAATTCATTGGTGTCTTCACTCGCTTTTTTAAGCCACTCTTTTAACTCATCTGGGTAAAGAAACACACACGATTTTCAGCAAAATAGTGTAGTGTGTATAAGCCACGAACGGTTGCAAAGTTAAGCAATGCCACTAAAATACGCCCCTAAGAAACGTAAGACCACTCTTTATAAGGCATAGGAGTTCATTAGTTAATTGGGGGTTAGTGGAATCCAACAAAACAAAACAAAGCCTTGCTTGAGGGGCCATACTAATCACATGAGCTGGCATGAACAGCGAAAAACTCTTTTAGACGAGAATTTCCATCGACTGTATTTCCAAGAGAACCAAAATATCTAATTTCCTATAACCAACTCGTTTGGAATGTCACAAATTACACTGCATATTTAAAGTTGACATTGTTCAACCAACGTACGTCTCTCTATCTAGTCTCCGTAGTCATTGCTTGGGATGTCACGTAACGCTCCCATCGTTAGTTTGGAGGAGTGTTGCGTTACATCCCAAAGTATGGCTGGGAAGAGGAAGTACTCCATTTTAAAAGTGGAACTTTTTTCTTATGTTCCTACTCATCCTACCTTCGGTCATAGAAAAGATTCTCAAAAAGGTGACCAATTCAGAGTCGAATGGTCTTTCTCCATGACTCACTGGAAACGAATGACTTGACCTGAAAAAAAATTCGTAATGTGGATCTTAATTTCTACCTTTTTTGCTCCACATGCCTTCCCCCTAAAATCATGATTTCAACGCAAAATAGGACAAGAACAACCCATAAGCAAAGAACAAAAACAAAAGCGACGGTAATGATGAGAAATCGTCTTCGAAGAGATTTAGACATGTATTTTCAAGCTCAACAACGTCCTGCAAAAATGCTTGTGAGCTCACGAGGCATATACGGATAAATATATGACAAAATATAATCATTTTCAAAACGTACGCTGTCATTCCCATAGAAGCGAGTAGTCTTTCCTTCATCTGGAATAATGGATCACTCTTACTGACGCCAAGCTGGATGGAGACCTTATCGTGGGCGTTTTCTTCAAACACAAACCCATTATGGACCAACAGATCCCCATTGGAACGTTCTCCATAAAAAATGCACACTTCTTCACCTGCATGAAAGTCCCTCACGGACATACTTTTGCAGCTGTCTTCAGCTAAATCATAACCAGTCGTTATCTGAGCAAAAACAAATCCAAAGAAACAGCTTGTCTACAATAAGAGCATGGTGCACAACAAGCCTTTAGTTCGAAGATGATTTACTCCTCAAGGCCCAATTTCCTGGCTTTCTCGACTGAGCCGAAGAGTAAATACATCATCTAGTTTTGGGAATAAACAAGTGGTCTTAGAAAAAGCGTTTGTTAAGCCAGGTTTTTGTCGTGAGGTGACAACGTTTTACTATCGTGCTGCTGCAAATTCCTTCACTTCTGACCTGACTGTTTACTAATTTCCTATTTAAGGTGTAGTGTTTAGAATAGTATCAGACAGATAAACCGAAAGAAAAAGACATTTAGATCTATTCTGAATAAAAAGTTTGACGGAAAGATCGTTTGTTGGGCTAAAATTTAGTAGCTGAACAACAATCTCAAACTTTTACGCAGCTACAAGAGCCACCTTCACTATCTCCTCACTTCCTCGTGGTCTGAAACCATGAATCCCTGAGGTTTGACAAAGATATTCCTCAAAACTTGTTTCTCTATTGTTTCAGATTGCAACTTGAAGGAATTGAGCCGAATAAACTAATACATAAATTGCAAGGAACACATTTACTCTGATGTGTGTTCTCTTACCGTGCCATTACAGTGGTTACACATGTCCCACATTGGAATAAGCGCCAGAGTTGGTTCACCTGTGGTGCTTGGGATCTTATTTTGTCGAGTAGTGACAGTTGACACTGCCCACCTGGGAAAACAAATTTACGGTCATTCGCAATCCTTTCCAATCTTTTCCATCCTCAACCATCATTGTACCCCATGAAATCATTGTGGTGTTTTCCTTGTCATACCAAACAAATTTTTTCCGTTTTACCTCAAGTTGCAATTAATTTTTCATTTCACAAACGGCGACAAAACATTTTGGAAGCACCAGTTTAAAAGTCATGGAAGGGTAATCTATCGACTTTGCCACCTCTTTAAAGAGGCTTCGCCTCAAAAAAACAACTGGGAATCAGAACCTTTGTTCTAATACAGGTTTACGAGTGTGTTCAGGGGGTCAATTTTGGTCAAAAATTGCGCTGCTAAGTAATACTGTGATTAATTGTTGTCAACAAAATCGAACACGTCATTGTAAGTCCAATTTTTCGAGGGATTACTTGCTCTTTCGTCGCGACAAAACGTCAAAAAGTAGGCAAGTCAATTTTCGTTTAGCCAAACTTTCAAGTTCCAAGTTTAAAGAACTCGTAAAAGCGTATTTGGGTTAAAAAGTAACCGCGCCGATGTCTATACGATAGTCCATTTTACCTTAGAAATACCTTGTTACGATTTACTATAATTTGGCAGTGGAATATCGCTGATCAGAAGAACTTGGAGCTAAAGATGTCAGACGTACCTGTGATCATCAAAAGTAAAATGTCTTCTAAGTGGGAGCTTGGCCGTTTCTGGACAAACCTGTCAACAATCAATTACTTCTAATTACAATGACAATTACAAGCACTTCTTTAAAGCAAGAAGCGTTACTTTCGGATGAATCGAGGCTTTTGAAGATAGTTTGATCGTGGTCTCTGAATGCTTGGACGGGTGCGAGTCGACTGACCACGAAACGTCCAGGGGTACAAAACGACTGGAAACCCTAAAATGTATGCTGTTACAGTACACCATACTCACCTGATGAAGACGTTGGTAGAGATAAGAATACTGTCGCGCAATATTTCTGTACAGTTTAAGAGATTCACCTGCAACAGATCATTTGGGAGTTGTTGTGTGTAGGGTTATTTCTGCCCAAAGGGATTCTTATAGTAATACTACTTATTTCTGAAAAATGATGGGACAGCTACAGTGAAAAACGACTCGAGTGGATCCTTTAGAATGTGGATGGTACCTCCTCGTTTTTCTGCTTAAAATAGCTGGATAGTTGGTTAAGAAAAGTATCCAGTGTTTAATTACTAGCTTACCGTTTGAGAGCTAAGTTATGAAAAACGCCATTAGCCTTCTTAAATACGTCAAATACAATTTTTAAACCCTTAGGTTGCCATACACGTACACTTTACTTCAAACCTCAAGGTTGAACATAACGCCTTCACTATGTGACAGGAGAGGGGGCATTCCTATATAACTAACCATAGGAGAAACCCACTCCCCCCGGGGGGATATAGGCTCCACTTCTTCTGGTGCTACTTTAAGCAAATATTTATCAGTAGCACATGTAATCAGTAAAATGCTAGCAAATATAATCAAAATTAATTAAGAAATGCATAAACAAAACAAGGTTCACTCACTGTTACAATTACCTACCAAATGCTGGAGAACCTTTCAATGTCTGCATCTCATCAACACTGAAGTACAAGGTTGTTGAATATGATGTTGGGAGAATATCTAAGTAGATGCTTAGGAGCTTTCTAGGCAAAGTGAGCGTAAAATGTACATTTGCACCTTAATTTATAAGAATCTGAGTTTCCAGTCCATACTAACATGTGGTTTGCTTCAAGGCTAACCATAGGTCAGCCTTTCTACCAACCAAACCCAGAAATTACGGGCAGTAGAGATGAGAAGTAAAAATAACATTTTCAAGTAAGACAAAAATGGTAGTGGGAGGTGATGTAGAGACAGAAAAAAGGAAATAAACATGGCTGATTGAATGAAAGTTTCACCCTGGTAATCAACTTCTGAAACAGTGTTTACATAAAAGAATTGGGAAAATCTTCACCCTTCTGGCCAATCCAGGTCTCAACAAGAGTTAAACAGTAGGAGGGTTGATGAACACTTTGAAACATTTGACTGTAATGGGATTACCCTTTGCCATGATTCAACCTTTTAAGAGGCAGTCACGGATTTGAAAAACGAACTCATTCATAAAGAAATAAAACATACCACAAATCAAGGATACTGTGTACTGATCGTCTTTTCAACCCAAGAAAAAATTTGCATGCAAATCAATATTCAATTATTTTCACTGAGTCTTGCTCAGAATATCCATTCACTAATCTGCTTCAGCTAACATGAATTAAAAGCTCCCCTCCATAAAAATTCAGAGGTTGTCAAATCGTAGCAGACAATATTTCTTTCAAATTGAAAGTGGATAAAACTTGTTCCACAACTTACATCTTCAATGACCATTAGTTAATTTCACTTAATAAGAGGCTAATTGCAAGAATGACAATGCAACATTGATGACCTTCACTGTAAAGACACAAATTTAATTCTCACAAAAACAACCCTGATCAAGACTGATTTCCATGTAGATCTACTAAGCAAAGAGTAGAAACCAATAATTTGACAATTAAACGCGCAATGCAATTTTTCAACCACCACCCAAAGTCCACTTCCGTTCATTCATGTACATGGACCACATAAACTTAGCTTTTAAGGATACCAAGATATGGTTTCCAAAATGAGTTCTCCTTCAGCTTTTCACAGTATACATGAAGTACTAGGCAGGCATTTTGCATCACCTTCAGAATGTTGTCCTTTTCAATCAATGGTCCTTTAACAAACCATACAAAAAACATGTCATTTCTACTCTCTACTAAGAAATGTAAATGGTACAAAGAAAGAGTCTACAAGTGACCATGGTGATAATAAGAGGCTTCCAAGTTAAGATAGAACAGTTTAAGATTGAGATTTAGGGTCCTCAAACCAATCTCCACTCATGTCACCCAATCATACTTTCCCATTCTTAAACCAAATTTCTTGCTTTTTTTAACAAATATCTGTGATATTTTCCAGTGGCTATTACTTTTAAATCCCTCAATCAAAATGCAACATAAAATAATAACTGCTATTACCGCTAAGTAATTGAGGGCCCTACTGGTCCCACATAATTATAAAAGTTGTGTTGCCTTTGGTTAAGTATGTCCATGTAATGAATCATTTGAACATTACAGCTACATACCTAAATCGGAATTTCTAGCACTCTCTGCCGACATCATCAGTTTTCTTGGTATGGTGATAAAATGTTGTCCTTCCTATGTATAGAATATAAAGCATGTCTCAAATTTACTGACTATAACAGTAAATAAATACCGAAATCAATTTTGAAATCAGGTAGACCTCTCAAACATATTCCTATAAAAATTGTAAGAAGATTTTCAAAGCATACTGTTTATAAAATAAAAGAGAAGAACATAATTAATTAAATACTTGGTAAAGAATTAATTGACAAGAATAACTTTTGAAAAGAGGGGGCTAGCCTTTTTCCAAAAAGTGACCAAAAGTTGCTTTTGGCATGGAAGGGAAGCTCCTTCTCAACTGTAACTTACAAGAAGTCAGCAAATAGGCAAGAAACATAACAAATTCATACCTCTATAGAAGAAAAATAATATGTACTGAACAAAAACAAACAGAGCAAACTGTATTTACCTAATCATTCTAAACAACATATGGCAATCTGCGGTCTTTCCTTACATTCAGGCAACACAGAAAGCCGCAAAACTCTTGAACAAAAGTTTATCTTTCAAATTGGCACTCTTAATCCCACAGGTATCAACAAATCCTTTTCATTCCACTAATTTATTCATGTTTTTCTCGTCGCCATGTTCCCTCGAATGGCGTAGCTCCGCTTTCTGCATATAAATCCACATACAACCCACAATTCCTCCATTCGCTCTGACAAAGGGCTAACGCTGGAAACGTCAGCTTTTTTATTCGTTACAGTGGCCAATTTACAATAATATTTCAACTTAGTTGATACAACCAAATTACAGAGCAAACTGTAGTTACAAATGCCTATGAGAGGCAAGCATAAATCCCAAGTTTTGATAGTTATATCAAAGAGATTAACACTTTCACTCTCAAGATCTCATTTATAATTCTCCTTACTGCCTGCCATACAATTCTGGAATTTGGTATTGCATCAACTAATAATCCCCTAATTTATACTATTCTTTATCCTCATCACTAGTCTGCTTGATATTGTATTGATATTGTGATGACAAATTCTGCCTTGGATTCACTAATGGAAGTTAAAGGGTTAGTGGTTAAAGGGGAACTGAAGCCTAAAAATGAACCATTTTTAAACTGCAGCTTATAGTTCAAATAGCAGAATGTTTGAGGGTTTTTTTCAGTCTTTGGGCCCAACTTTGCCTTGGAAAAATAGTTTAAAGTGGTATTTTGGCCTCATAGTGTGGCGGCTCAGAAAAGTGATGTCAGTGGTCATTTAAGCTTGCTCTTACGTCACTGGTGGGGAAGAAAGATAATAAACCCGTACTCTTCCTACAGAAATTTGGTTTGGTTATGGAGTTATCAAAGTTGCATGACTTGTAATGG